CAACAGACCTGGAAGGGCACTGAAACAAGGAAACCAGAAGACCTTGAAGCCAAAGTAACATCCGGAGAGGAAAACAAACAGCCCACAGGGCTGCTTAAGAATGTTGATGGCGGTTGTGAGGCCAAAGAAAAGGGTGAGTCAATGGAGAGCACACTGGGCAAGCCTTGGCCCAGCTGCTGGCTTTCCCGGGGGTGGATCAGGACCACCCCCTCCTCCATCACAGCACTGCAGTTTCCAAAGGGTAATACTTCTGGTGCCAAGTCCTCAGTCTTTGTAGATGAAACAGGCTGTGCAAGATTCCAAGGTTATGACTCATTCCCATCCTATCAGGGCAGCAGTGTTGGACCTCAGCTCCCTGTTCATAGCTTTCACAGGACAAAAAAAAAAATAAAATGCAAGACTAAGAAACCAGATAGCTGTGCTCCTGAGCGAGTCAAATCCTCCTGACAGCTAATCTCATCTTAGTTGTCTGTTGTTGTCTTATCAAAGTCTCTCAGAGAAAGAGACAGGCAGGTGCAACCCTTGTCTCTGCTCCTGCCTGTGAGGGGTCTCTTATCAACCAGCACTCAGAGAAGCAACCCAGAGCAGCTGAATTCTGCTGGGTGTTGAGAGGCAGCCCTGATAAGAATGTCAAGGCACATCATCAGGGCACTCACTAGCTTAATGGCCTGCCTTGCTCTACCTAACTCAAATACCCAAAAGGGAAGGTTTCCTTTAACCGAGGACAAAATGACTGAGCTATGGGGGCAGAGGAGCAACAGTGAGTTGACCTGCTGTGTGTGATACCTGAGAAACTTTCTTTATCCTCCCTTTGTTTTACAGATTATTTTTTTTCCCTGTAGAGATTGTGCTTGCTTTAAAAATGAGCTCTTGTGTGCGCTTTAAAAATGAGCCCTCGTGTGCCTTCTCCAGTTGTAGCAGAAAGATTTGACATTCCTGATATTTTAGTAGATGAGTAAGGATAGTGTAATGATACACAAATCCATGAGAGTTATGCCTCTAGCATCACCTGAATGATGTTCTGCATGTGATTCTAAGCTATATTTTCTGCTGTGGGCTGGTTTGCTCCCAAAGATTTGTTTCTGCTATGACATATCCTCTCACAGAGCAGAAACAAAGGAAGAAGATCGAGATGGGTGGGTCTGACAGAGAGATGCTCCCATGTGGTATCTGAGAAAGCTGGCTATTAGTTGCTGTGGGAGAGACAGAAAAGCGTTCTGCTAACAAGCGTGCGAACATTTAATCTCTTCTGGTCTCTGCTGGAGTTGCATCCTTTGGTTTGTAACCTGCCCCAAAACCTTCTTGTCAGTTAGAAGGTCTCCCCAGAGAGTTTTTGCCCATTTCGATGTTGTGTGTTGACATGTAAGATGCCTTTATGTAGGGGGTTTTAATTTCTGTTTTTCATTAAATACGGAAATGTTAGAGGTTTGGCCAATTTTTCTGCCTTTTATTATGTAACGATGCCATCTTGTGGAAGTTGCTAAGAGCAAGAGTTGGAAACCGCACCTAGATCGT